GCAAGGCTGGCTGGGGAATTCTGGGGGTTAAAGTCCACACGTCTTGAAGTTGCCAAGGTTGAGAAACACTGATCTACATGAATCCAGATAACCAGTGGAGGGCAGCAAAGGGTTCTAATTTTCTCAGTGTTTTTGGTGCCCTCTAGCAGCCATCCAAATTTGCACAGTTCAGATATGGTACCTCTTCCTTTCAGTGGGTTTCGATTTCCCTCGTGGCTATTCAACCTACACTGAATTGTTTCTCTGCTTTCATTCCCCAGGGTCAAAAAGCTTGGATAGAGAAAACCTTTTCCAAGAGAGAGTGCATCCACATAATTGCCAACAGCAAAGATGCTAGCAGGTGACTTTCCTTCTGGGTTGGCGTTTGCATTTGTAATTTTTTTAGACCCACAAATGAGCCATCTTTGCCTGGCAGCAGCACCAGCAAAGCCACTGCCCTTATCAGTGGGTGTGGTAGCAAAGAGTTGTCTCTCCCGAGCACCTCCTTGGATAGGGTCCCTTCAGCTGATTGGAAGGGAGGAAGGATCAAGGGCAGAGGCAAGGCCATCAGGTTCCAAGACCCTGGGGGAAGCTGCCTGTCATTCAAGGGGTCCAAAAAGAGAAGCAGGTTCCAAGAAAGTCCAAGGTGCAACACCAAGGCTGGAATGAGGTGGCTTAGGCAATGTCCTTTCAGCAGTCACCAATCTTGAGGAGGAAACTCCAAGGTTGGGGTTGCCTGCTAGATTGTAAGGGAAGACAACAGATACAAAGTTGAGGTAGGCTGATGTAGTGACATTGCAGCCTTGATGCTCCTCTTGAAGACAACCTTAATCTGCAAATCTGCAGAAGAAACAGGGTGCTAACACCTGGTTCCAGATTCTCTCTGGCATTTTGAAGTGGGGAAAAGAAGTCCTGCACCTTCCACCCAGGAATAATGTTGCCTAGAGTTGGTTGGGAAGATGGCTTTTGCCATTTTAATCCTCAAAATTGCTCTGACCCTTTGATCTATATGAGGTCTATAGTGTTTCAGCAACCAACTAATTTGCATTATTGATGCTATGAAACTTTGGATTAATCTGAAAAAGTCCCCAATTAATCAGGCAGAAGATTCTTTTTAAAAAGAATTGCTAAAATTGCAGAAGGCGTGTACCGTATAATCTGCAAAGAGGAACTCTCCTGTCAGAAGGTATTCTCCTAATAAAAGGTTCCCCAAAGGTGTAGACTTCTGGCTTCAAAGCTATCTCCTTTC